TAGCTGTCTGAAGAGTCCAGAGCTTTGGTTAGATCCTAATATAAATAAATACCATAAACAATGCTGGTAGCTTGCAATGTAGAGAGGTGCAAAAAGAAAGTTCTTTCTCTTAAAACTCTTTTTGATAGATTTGTACTGCTAGACATTGCCAAATGTCACTTGGTTTTGGTAAGATTAACATTCTTTAATTTTGTATTTTTGCAGTGCATAAGAATATATAGCAAACAAGCCTGAGGTACCCCAACGGCAATCCTCAGGCATATTATCACGCTTGACATTAGGGGTATTTGAGAATACATGTACCATTTTATATTTTATAAAGGAGAAGTTACAGCAATAGGTCATAGGCTAGATATGTAAATATGTTGAGTAAGGTAGTCAGCAAGATTTATGTATCAAGATAATGATCAGGCATATCATAAGATTATATTCTAACCAGTATGGGAGAGGTTAAGCATATATATGATTACTAGCAGGCTCAAACATGGCTTAGATGAGATATATATATATGCGGAGTAAGATATCCACTAGGTTTAGAGATAGAGCTATGGTTATTACTATATTGCCTTTTCACTGAAGAGCAACAGAATGGATAAAGCAAGGAAAATCATAAAGTAAAGCTGTGGGCATATCAATCTGAGTCCGGTTGTTCTCCTTCAGGATCTGGAGTGGGGTGCAACATGCTGGATTCATTCGATGCCTGTGAGCGGCCAGAGTATGGCTCGCCGGAGAACGTCTGCGTGTGGATCGGGGCTGCCACCTTGGAGCGGGTCTCTCTTCCAGCCCCGGGCCTGGTTGAGGCCTGCATCTGTGTGTCCTGGTGTCTCGCAGGCGCCCTTTGTGTCAGGCGGGATGTCAGGCGCCATTTTGAGCAGTGTACGTTGAGAGTCCATTCAGGGAGGAAAGCTGCAGTATTTGCTTCAGCCAGGTCAGTGGGGACCAGGATATCCCCCACCGGTCCAAGTGGGGGGGTAGAAGCATAGCAGGTCCACTGATGTATTGGGCTGCAGGGAAGTCGGCCGCCCTTCTCTCGCCTAGCCGTCTGTAGGCCTCAATGCACTAATGTTTCCCCCCGATACCGTAAACTCCTGGGAGAAGTGTCTGACGGTTTGCCGCTGTCTGCCCAGGATATATAACCTGGAATTTAGTGTAGCCAGGGTTATGCTCAAAGGTTCGGTATGCTGAGTGGGAGCTCATACTACACGTGTCCGATCAGCTCAGAGCCCAAGCACTGCCACCTACCATATGAGTTTTATAGAGCACAGCTGTTCTTATATTACTATGGCAAGGTATATATATCTTGAGCAGAAATTCCTTTACTTAACTTGGCCTCCCCAAGTTTAAAAGCAAGCTTGTCTTCTTCAATTCATAAACTTAAATCCAATTAGCACATTTGCTTAAAGTGATTGCTTAGATGATAATTTTAGAGATTAACAGAATCATATCACTACTTTCTTTAATTTTGTTGATTCCAGCACTCTAGTCAATCATATTTGATCGCACCCTACATTTCTGACATGCAATAAGCTTTAAATATCATTTGACTGCTAATACCTTTGTACCTAATGAACATAATAAAGAATGGCTTGTAGGCCTCACCCCCTTCCCTCTATGTTAAAATCTTTTTGATATTGCATTTTCCAGTCATTGGCTCTCCATATGTATACTAATTCTGTTAAAACACTAGACAACGTTTACAATGTTACCAATTTCAACTGTCTTACTACAATACTTACCTCATAGGCAGAGGCTATTAAGTTAGATATAACTTTGAAATGTATTTTGACTAATAGAAACATAGAAACATAGAATGTGACGGCAGATAAGAACCATTCGGCCCATCTAGTCTACCCAATCCTCCAAACACTTTCACTAGTCCCTGGCCCTATCCTATAGCTAGGATAGCCTTATGCCTATCCCACACATGCTTAATCTGTCATATTCACAGTGGTTTGTCTTTTCTATGTAACTGTGTGTGTGCATGGAGAACATACCTGTTTGCCAACATTTACTGGTACATGGAAATCACTTTTTATTTGTAAATCTTTATTTTTGCTGTGCTTAAGAGTACACAATATCCTGCAATGCCACAACAGCAATTACAAGATTATTAAATGATATAATGAGACATATAGTATAAAGTCAAATACTAGTGATGTAGCGTCATGTGACATTTCATTTATGTGACGGAAGTCACCATCACTGGGAACATAAGATGGACACTTCAATTAGATCCCTTGATGACTTCTATGTTTAAGTCACCCTGTGCCTGTTGTAGGTGCAGGGTGTGTGTAATATATGTGTATTATGTATTTATTGTTAGTTGTTTGTGTGCTCTCCTGGTACTTGGTTGGAGTACAGGAGCACCGTCACAGGCATATAGGGCCTGCTGATGCTTGCTACCAACTTAAAGGATTTGGCTATGGAGCCTGTATAGCGCCCTCTGTTGGTTGCAGCAGCAGCTATATGCACTACCTGAGTAGCAAGGCTTGCTAATTTGCATATTCGGGTGGATTTGGATATTGCTAATTCTGCAGGCAGGAGAATAATTATATGAAATAGAAGAATTACAAGAAACCTTACAGAAACAATAGGTTGAAGAGGACCCTGCTCAAACAAGCTTACAGTCTATAGGAGGTGGGGGGTAAAACACAATAGGACAGGAAATAGCAATCAAATAACGTGGGAGTGAAGCAGAGCTAGAGGAGAGAGTAGAGTGCTGCCCTTTAGGAGAGTGCAAGAGACAGGTATGTAAGGTAGAGGATACTCTGGGAGGCCATAAGCTTTCCTAAAGAGATGGGTTTTAAGGCACTTCTCAAACGATTGAAGACTAGTGAAGAGTCTGATGGCGATAGGCAGGCTATTCCACAGGAAGGGAGCTGCCCGTGAGAAGTCCTGTAAGTGTGAGTTGGCCGCTGAAGTAAACTTTACTCGCAAGTTGGAGTAAATTTTGAATTAATAATAAAATGAATAACTAAAAATAATAACTTAAAAACCGAGTGTAAAATCAGAGTCCATACTCCTTGCTTTCGGCAATTCAATAATATTTATTAAGAGGCTAATCAAACAATACATATACATTTGAAATAGGCTAGTAAATGTTGCTACCAAAACTAGTCATTGATTTAATGGAAAGTAAACTAAACGTCATACAGTTAACACTGCACTGATCATCTGCTGAGATTAAGATAAGAGAGACCTTGTGGTATTCACAGGGCTTTTATCAGGATAGCCATTCCTTCTTTTGGACACACCTCCCTCAGGCAATCCCTTAGGACAGGGGTAGGCAACCTATGTCATGTGTGTCATGCCCGGCACTCAATATGTCTTTGCACGGCACTCAAAGCTGCCAGAGCCAAACAGGCTCTGGCCTTCAGGGGTCCCAGTAAAACTTCAGATATACGAAAAGGTGGTGAAGGACAATCCTCAATTTATGCATTGCAGCACTTGTGAATGGGAATCCACACTGTAGTAGAGCAGCCCACAGCTGATGTTGCAGCTCCTGTCCTTGACCAGTACCTGGCCAGCCTGGTCCCCACTAGAACCCAGGGAAGCCACCCACACTGCTAGATATACACAGAAATGCAGAATAACCCTCCCCTCAAACAAATAATACAAACAGCCCACACACAAACATACACACAATCCGCACAAACTCAAACCCGCTAACAATCCACATACATGCACACAACCCTACATGCAGCCCCTCACATGCAATACCCCAAACACATCCACACACTACCAAACACTACCAAACACACAAAGTGACATATCCATTCACACACAATTCCACAAGCAGCCCTCATACACAGCCCACATTTATAGGTACACAATACCACAAACTACTCATGAACATATGCTATGGGACATCACAATCTTATTTTGGCACAGTGCTGCTAAAAGGTTGCCTACCCCTGCCTTATGAAATAACAGAACCAGAGTGACTCCTGGGGGAAAAGGGATTGCACTGGATGGGAAAGGAGGAGGAGTTTATCAACAACCAAACTGATTTTGCCTGGTGACATGCCATGTGCTCACAGAGGACTCCATTATTGCCTGAGAGTAGAATGGGGCTTGAATCCCTCTATACAATAACATTTCATTGGCATACAGCTTGGTTTTAAATCAGTCCCCCCCGCTTATTACAGCCGCTATGATTTTGTTATTTGTATTTCATTTAAGTTGTCACAGTAATCTACATGTAATTAGTCTATGGGCTAGACCTGAGAAAAATAAAGTTGTGTATGTTAGTTCCTTTTGGAACTTATGTCCTGTGTGGATTTCTAGTGACAGAATCTTCGGACCTGCTTGCAGGATCCTTCTAGCCCTGGGATAAATCAAGAGAGCAAGGCCTGAGAGCTGCAGTTGCCTTTGTGAAAGGCAATAACTATAATCACTGTAAGCAGAGCTGCAGCGGAATAGGCAGAGGGGACGATACCTGCCTCGAAGGAGAGCTGCTGCCAGAGGGACCCCAGTCAAACTGTGGCGACTGAGGCAAAAGCGTTCCAGGGTCAATGCAGCGACTATGAAACAGACTTGGTGGAGGTGCCCAGCTGGGGTACAGGGAGCTCTGTCACAATTAATACAGCACAATTTTATAATTACAGTAGCATAGACAAACATGTCTAAGTATTCAGAACAAATAAAACATTTAATCAAAAAGAAGGGATAGACATGGAGATAGTTGGTCAAGAACAGGCATTGAGTAATTAGGGAGGTTGACTTACAGATGCTTAACGTGCCTATATAACATCCACTGAAAATATTAGACATCTCTACAATACTGCACTAACAATACTGCACTACCGAGCATGAAGAGTAGAGAAGTAAAAAGAAATAAAATCAATACCAGGAAAAAGAATAATGAAAACGAGCTGCTTATCAGACAGTGTAAAATTAGATGGTGCCTGCCAGCAGTAATTGTAAGTATAGCTTAGGCAGTGGAACCAGAGCCGAGCTCAGCTGAGGCCCATGATCAGCAAGACTGGGATGCTCAAAGTGAGTGTGGATGGTCTGCTTTGAAGTTCTCCACCAGCCCCAGATCTGTATAAGGACCAGCATCCATAGTCCACAAACTTGGAGACATTCAGGGACAAAGTCTTTCCCTCACCAGGGGGCAGTCAAAGGATCGGAATGGTAAATTCCACTGTACATCCTAACTTCCCTCTGTCCTGGAGATAATTGGGAAGTAATCCAATTATCTCCCAGGACAAAGGCAAAACTCCATTAACCACATGGCAGTAAAAGACAGTAAAAGACATAAAAACTTATAAAGTTCCAACTGTTGCACAAAACATATACATTCTACCTATCCCCAGATAGCTTAGATCTGAGCGCACAAAAGTACAGAATAGCGCTCAGATCCTATGCACACAGTCCAATCGCCGTGGCGTTCAAGTTTTCACAAAGTCTGTTCTCCATATGAATAGACTCCATGGGATGGCTATCTGGGGTAATGCTGTTCATACGTTTTAACTACTGAATGAACAGGCATCCGGTTAAATGACCGAATGCAGAAGCAAGAAGGCTTTTAACATGGGGCCATAGTCCAAAGGCAACAGGCGAGCAACCAGGCTTCTCCAATGCAATGTGGCGAGATTGGTCTCGTCACAGTGACTTTTCGTCATAAAATAGCAAAATCGTGTAATTTTATTTCAAGACACGTTAAAAGCTGTGCAACCAGAGGAGAAAAACTGTAAGAGATAGGCTTGAAGTAAAACTCACAGAAGGGGAACTCCCGCTACCACTCAGCCGAGCAGATCAAGTCCTCTAGCTGCCCCCCAGGGACGTCTTGCCCCACCATCAAGGCGCATGCCCTGCATACAGAGTGTCACCGAAACGGAAGACATCCACACCAGCGAAGACAACATCCCCTTGACCCATCATACCAAAATAGGGCAAAGGGAGGCCGCAAGGTGAGGAACAAGGAGTTAATCCCGGGAGGATTGTAAGACACAGTCCAGCGTTCATACTCCCGAAGGCATGAGACCAGCTATAAGTTTGTCCGAGAAGGGAATGCTGGATAACTCACAGACCAGCAAGAGAGCTTACTACGCCGTGAGATATCGAACACCACACCATCCAGAGTGAAGGCGCGGGCATCTGAGTCCAGAGTTCTAATGTCAGAAATGCGCTTGCAAGACACAAAGCAAAACAAGGTCACTAATTTAGCAGACAACTGGTGAAGCGACAGATCTACATTCAGAGGCCAGGACTCGAACAGCGTGAGGACACAAGTCACGTCCCAAGTACAGGTATACTTAGCATGGGAAGGGTGGGCACCACGAAGGAGGCAGCATATAAAGGGGTACCCGCCAGTAGGCCAGTATGCCAGAGAACCCCACATGTGCAGAAGAGATAGGAGAGCGATGTACGTCAAGAGGGTGATACACCTACTGGAGTCAAACATTGATGAGAGGAATTGAAGAATCACAGGGACTGAAACAGGATCCAAGTTCTGAGCCATGCACCAGCCAGCCCAGACACGCCTTAGTGATGGTGGCCCATGAAACTACCAGAAGGTATCTAGGTGAATCCAAAATTCCTGGCACATTCCAATGTCCACTGAAATTAGCCACACCAACTGGGGAAACTGCCCCTCGAAGATGAGGGCCACTGTCAGGATCGGGATCCAAAAAGAGCTGGGTTTGTTGAAAGCAGCCTGGAAACATTGATGGCCAATTCCAGGACTTGAGAAAACCAGGGCTGAGCTGGACAAAAAAGAGCCATGAGAAGGATCGTCGCCTGCTGATGATGGACCTGGAGAAGTGTCCTGGGCAACATGGAGAACAGTGGAAAGACAGTTGCGAGTCCCGCTTCAGTCCTGAAGAAAGGCATTCACCGCCAACGATTCTGGGTTCAGCTGCCTGTTGAGTGGCAAACAAGTCCAGTTAGAGTGGACCCCACAGCCTGAGATGGGAACGAAAGACGGAGGGATCAAGCCTCCAGTCACTGGGGTCTGATAAGAAGTGAAAATTCCAGTCGCCCGTTACATTTGAGAGGCCGGGAATGTATAGCGCCCACACCATGATGTTCTGAGCCAAACAGAAATCCCAAAAGTCCCATGCCAACGTTGCTAAGAACGCTGAGTGTGTCCCGCCCAGGTCATTGATGTATCAGACAGGGGTAGTCTGCCTAGAGTGAGACATAAAGGAAGGCAGTGGCAATCAGAAATAGAGGCAAAGCCAAAAACTCACAGGGAAGAGAAACTCACAGGCCAGCAGTAGTACAGCCACCATGGTGCACACACAAGGCCAGGGAGTCTGGCAAAACAAAACGGGAAGGCATATGGCGTAGTCTGATGATGTCACGCATGAGGGACGATATCGTGAAAAACAGGGATCAGGACGCGATTAAGATTACAGAAAAACAATCCAGGAGTGAGCCAGGACTACGGAGTCCCAGTAAGGCTGAAATCCAAATGGCCGCCGGGTGAAAACAAGGTGCGAAAAACACAAAGGAGAGCCCAGGAAAGGGGGGTGGAGATGAGAGAACCAGAGACTACTACACATCCCTTCCACTACAGTCTCTATTCCCCCACGTGCAGCCCCTAACCCCCTTTCCACCCCATAACTCCACTACAGCGATTCCCTTTCTACAGTCCTTACCCCCACTACAGTAACATATCCTTTCCACTATAGAAACTTTCACCCAATTGCTGCCCATATCCCTAACACTACAGCTCCTTTCCCCAATTGCAGCCATCAACCTACTTCTGCCCCTAACCCCTCTACCACATCCCCTATCTCCTCAATTTCAACCCACTACCAGTTCCCCTCCCGATATAAGATTCCGGACCTGGACCTCCCTCTGCTTTGTATGATTATTTGTCTGTGTATGACAGTATATGTATTCCTGTGTCTGTATGTATTTATATGACTGTGTCCATATGTCTCTGTATGGCTTGCACCTGTATGTGTAAATTGTGTAGATTGAGTGACTGTGTGCCTTTAGGACTGTGTTTGTTTGATTGTGTGCCTGCATATCTCTGTGCCTGTGTGCTTGGTTGGGTATGTTGCTATATCTCTAAGTCTATAAGACTTGGGATGAAAAAGACACACAAAGGGCCCTGGAGATGGAGGGAGGGGCACAAAGAAAAAGGCTGTAGGAAAGAAGGGGATTGTAAGAGACATACAAGGGAGTGTAAGACACACTAAAGAGGCTATACAATACACTAAAGAGGGTAAGAAATTCAAAAGGGGGTTTACGAGACAGCGGTGAAGATGCATTGTTTTTTTTATGGGAGGGAAGGGGGGGGGGAGGAAAATGCATCTTCACCTGTGTAGCCAAAAATCCTTGCACCAGCCCTGTACCAAGGTGATGTACATTCTGTGGAAGAAGTGCATATCCTAGTGGATTTCCTCAGTACCAGCTCAAAACCAGAGGCACTTTTCCGGCATCAAACCTGACTTTCTCTATCCATCTTAAAGAGCAATGTCTTTGTCCTAAAGGTTTAAATAAAGATTATGTAATCATGTTAGTCATGGTATGAGTTTGATATAAGTTATGAGTGCTAGTAATAATAAATGTCCCTTGCCTTTAGATTCTTCAGAATGGAATAATTGAAAATACAGCTTTGATCAACATTCAGTCACATATTACTATTCTGGTAATTATAGCTATATTTTTAAGTAGTATTCACTGTGAAATATTAAATTTTTAATCTTAAATCTTATTTTCCACATATTGGTTTTATAAGCCATCAGTTTTGTTTTAAAGATTTATAACAAGAAAGTGTAGTTGTCCCGAAGTTTGAAAAATGCACAAAATTATTTTTTTTGTCTCTAATCTACAGACATAGGACAACCAACAGATTTCGTTGGAACAGTCCCACCATCCTGATTTAGTTCCATGGTGTTCCACATCCTATTGACCAGGATATCTCGTGGACTAATAATGACTGGAGTAAAATGATCAATCTTATGCATTTGTCATAACTGACTCCTCCATTAAGATTGTTAATGATAAACAAGCTAGTAGGTATCACTTTATCCTCAAATTCTTAACCAAATCCTTCATACCTGGGCGGCACTAACCAGGGGGCAGCAAAAAATGCAATCCCCAAACGCCCACTCGGGTGTCCCTGGTGTTTCCCCCTGTCATGGGGGGGTTCATAAGGTGGCCAGCAGACTTGTGGCTGTGTTAGAATCAAGGCGGCGAGTGAGCTGTGATCTCCGTGCTCTGCTCCCTCGTGCGCCACTTGCTGATGCTGCAGAATTCCGTCTCCCAGCATCAGCAGACGGCCTGCAAGGCATGAGGGAGCACAGCAGGTAGATCACAGTTCCCTCGTCGCCTTTGATTCTAACACAACCGCACGCACACCTCTCACGACAGCCCCACTGGACCCCCAACGACAGGTAGGAAGGCTGGGTGAAAAATTTAAAAGTATTCTAATAATATTAATAATTAGTGTGTATGTCTGTGAATGTAGGTGTGTGTCTGTGAATGTGTGTGCATGTGAGTGTATGAGTGTATTTGTGTATGAGTGTGTCTGTGTGTGTGTATAAGTGTGTGTGACTGTGAGTGTATGTGTGTCTGTCTGTAAGTGTGTCTGCATGTGAGTGTATGGGTGTGTGTGTCTGTCAAATCAGCGAGAGTCTGTTTGTTATCGAGTCTGTGTGTGACTGTAAGAGTGTGGCTTTCAATTAGTGTCTGTCAGTGTGTGTCTGTCAGTGTGCATGTGTGTGTCTGTTAATGAATGTGTGTGTGTCAAATCATCGAGTCTGTGTGTGTCAGTGACATCTGTGTGCCTGTCAGAGTGTGTGCTTAACCCCTTAAGGACACATGACATGTCTGACATGTCATGATTCCATTTTATTCCAGAAGCTTGGTCCTTAAGGGGTTAAAGGGACACCATAGGCACCCAGACCACTTCAGCTCATTGAAGTGGTCTGGGTGCAGTGTCCCACTCCCCTTAACCCTGCAACCTTGAGGGGTTAACTCCTTCCATGTGGTTAGGCGACCAAAAGTTGCCTAACTGATGCTGGATGTCCTCACGCTGTACATGAAGACATCCAGCGTCTGCTAAATCCCCAGAAGTAAAAGGAGTAGGAAAAGGTGGAGTCTAAAGAGGAAGGGGTGGGTTCTTAATCAGGAAGGGGTGGGGTGGGGCAAATTTAGATTAGGGGGGTGCCCAGGTTTAGTCATGCCTAGGGCAGCACAAAACCAAATTACATCACTGCCAGAGTCACTTAACTCACACACTACTACACTAGTACAGCCTTCTCCACCCG